TGAATGGCTACTTTAAATGTATAGAAGTTCATTGAGATGTATAGCTTGGGAGTCTGGCTAATGTTGGCATGTGATTTTCCCCTAATTTTTTAAAGTAATAATGTGTAAAATAAATTTAATATATTAAAAATAGAAGTTGGCATTGGAGAAATGGATTGCTGTGTAAGCATGAGAAGCTGAGTTGAATTCCCCACAACCCACATGAAAGACTATGTGGCTGCATTTGTGCCTATGACCCCAGCACAATGGTGGGCAGAGACACAGACACTACTGAGGCTTGCTGGCTGCAGCCTGGCTCCAGATTAAATGAGAAACCTTGTCTCAAGAGAATATGGTAGAGGGTAACAGAGCAGAACACTTGCTGTTCTTTGGCCTCTGCATGGGCATGGGCATGAGCGCATATCTACACACACAAACACATACTCAAGTAAAATTAATAAGTGAAACGTCTAAGATAATTCTTCCAAAATTATGAAAGTTACATACACCTCACATCCGGAGAAACCAAACAAAAATAGGCAAAGTAGAAAAGCAAATGCACCAACACACATCTTGCTCTCCAGCCCATTCCCCCATGTCTTGTCCTTTAAATGTTGACAGCCTGGCCAATCCTTCTTTACACCTGTTTCTCTGATGTTCAAATCTGTGCAAAAAAAACCCCATGTTATTTATATATGGGAAGAAGAGATGGTGGCGTTACAGGAAACAAGAACACTAAATATTATTTTGTAACTTATTGGAAATCTATATTGATACTTTAGGCAGCATCATAGTATCACAGATGAAAAATGTTTTATCTTTATTTACTCATGTCTCCACTGATGAAGGTTCAGTTTTCTTCCAGATGTTTTGAAAGGTATAAAGGTTGCTTCAGGGCTAGGAAGTTGGCCAGCAGGTAAAGTGCTTGCCGTGCAAGCCCGATGACCTAGGGTCAAACTCTGGTACAAGCAAAGAAATGTCACCACAAAGGAGTGCTACCGCTTCCATGCCTGCACACCACCTCCACCACACACAGACATACAAACAACAGGCAAAGTTATGATAATAAAATTTTAAATTGCCACGGTAAATACTCGTGTGCGTGTAGTCATACAGGTACATACACTCATTTAAGCAAAGTTCTTAAAGTAGGATCACTGGGCCATACTTACATATAATTTTAACAATGACTCTTTGATATCTCTTGTTAACTCAATTATTACATTCATTTTTAATTTTATAGATATAATAAGGTGTTTATAATTTCCAATTTACAATTACAGGTACCTTTCTGTGTACTATGTACTTTCTGAAGTTAGGTAAATATGTGTCTATATCTATTAATATTTGAGGCTTCTTTAAATTTCATCAAACTTCAACATTTATACACAAAGAATTTATACATACTCCACATAATATAATCCCAAATAGGAACCAAAGAGCTACAGAAGAATTAGATACAATATATATGAGTACCTCCCAACTCTAAATAAAGTGACATTAATTACATCTTTAATTGGTCAAATGATTTTCATGGTTTGAGCCATGTGCTTCCATCATGCCTCACTGACTACAAAGAACAAAAATCATAAGTTTGCTGAACAACACAAGAAAGACGAGACATTCCCTCAGTGTGGTGAGCCAACTGTCATAAGATACTTGCATCATCAAAGGGGTTTATTTGCGATCAAAGATAGATGAAGACAGGAAACCAGAAAAGAATCTCAACGCTGAGCTCCCAAAACACTACTATGTATGTTAGCACAACTAAAACTCCTTCAAAGTTACTTTAAGGAAATGCATTTCTCAGAGGCTTGGTAACAATGAGTTACCTCTATCATCAAAGTAAGGTCCCATAAAACCACTATAAAGTGGTCACTAGATGGGTCCATGAGAAGGAAAATATAGACACTTTTTATATTTAGTATAGTCTCTGCCTGATCATATTGTCAATGTAAGAAATTCCTGTGTGCAGTGCATGGGATGAAGAGTGAGAAAATTTATAAAGCCAATAGGAGGTGTATCAATGGCCTTTGTGATACCTTCATGTTATGCCTGCATGGTAGCAATGACATTGGATTTAAATTCTTGGTCTTGTAAGATGTGGATTCCATTTTCTACTCAGAATTAACTACTTGTCTGTAACTCTAGAGTCTTCCAACTAGAAACTGGTCTTTTGATCAAAAATAAATGAAAGCAGGAAACCTGAAAATAACCCAAACACTAAACCCCAAGGAGTTAATCTCTTACTTCAGTAATAAATGAGTGCTTTCAATTATCTTACTCTCATCACTTCAGTGAAAACCCTACTTGTTATTTCCACAGGAAATTCATGTCCACAGACCATAAACTTAATCTAGTTAATAGCTAACTTGGGGGAAAAGTGGAAGTTGGATTCCAATGAAGAACCACTGTAGGGAGATGGTAAATCAGTTACTTTTGAACATCCTGCTGCTACTGTCTGAGGCCTCTGCTGAGACTGAGGGCAAGGAAATGTGAAAAGCAAGACAGAAGCATCCAGAAAGAGGATATTCTCCCTGTCTGAACTCACCAGCTGCAGGAGTAACTAAAAAAATTGACAAGGACTCTGGCTATAGAATGTAAAGTAAAAAGAAAAAAGGGACAAAAAGATATACAATAGATCAAAGACACTAGCTAGACCTTTCCCTTCCTCCAGGCTTCTCAAGAAGGAGCCAGTAAAACAGGACAAAGTCTAAGAGATACTATTTACTACAGAAACTAAGGTCTCTCCCACTCTGACTCTTCTCCAACTTCCCAACTCCTTATAAAAAGGTTAGACACATAGGAGGTCTCCATGGCAGGGCATCCCTGTGCTTTTTATAATTGCTCCTAAAAGTGCTACTTAAGATCTCAGTGGAAGACTGGGCCAAAGTAAAAAGTGGTCATGAAAATTGCATAGAGAACCTACCTCGAAAATGGAACCATTCTTTCAACTTGTCCCTCAGTGGGTTCACAGTCGTCTGCCTACAGAAACTGAATGTTTTATTATGTGCTTACAGACAACAAGGCTTAGTTCTTATGAGCTCACAAAAGGATGGCGGTTTTATAACATACAAAACTGCAATAAATGACAAGATAACCCTAAATTAAGGGACAAAAGTCTTACAAAATACCAAAGACATTCAAAGCAGAGATTCTGGATGAGGAGTGCATAGAACCCTAGAATTTGATGTAATTTCTAGATCTTAGTTTCTTTTCCTGTTGTTATGATAAAACACCATGACAAAAGCAACTTCAGGGAGAAAGGTTCATTTTGGTTCAGAGTTCATCATGGTAGACAAGCCAAAGCAGCAGGAACTTGAAGCGGTTGGTCATACTGCAGCCGCAATCCAGAAGCAGAGCGCAATGAATGAATATATGCTGGTTGTCAGCTCACTTTCTCCACTTTACATGGTCTAGTATTCCCTGCCAAGGGAATTGTCCCAAGCACAATTAAGATAGATCGTCTCGCACCGATAAACATAACCAAGATACTATCCACAGGTGTGACCACAGGCCCACCTCCCAGGTGAATTTAAACTCTGCAAGCTGACATCAACATTATCCATAACAGGATATTTTCATTAGAGTTATGCAGTATATGAGATGAATTTCACAATTCCATGACTTTCCTACTGGGGCAGAACATGGCAAATTTGACCAGACTATATTGTATATTGTATATATTGTATAAACAAGATGGAAGAGTGTTTACTACATTTTTTAAAAAACACCTCCCTGAATCAGGGATGTAGAGAAATATGTAAAATGTGACAAGTTCAAGAGAAACAAGCTTTTGGCAACTCTTATTTCCTAGATCAACATTTTTATCTCAAAATTTCACATGAGTTTTCTATAAATAAAATTCCAGTATTCTCTAAGAGATCACATATATTGCAAGTTATTTTCTAGCTTAAGACCCTGACCATATGCTGCTGAAGAACCAATTGTCTGCATAATGGCACACAAAACCCTGAATATTTGAGCACACTGGCAAGGATACAGGACAGGGACTCCTCAATGAACACTCAAGATTATTTTCATGTAAAAATTTAAATACATTAAGTATACAAGTCAGAGGCGCTCATTAGTACCTTATGCATGAGAAATGGCATTGTTACTCTAGTCACAGCAGTGGCCCATAAATAAAACATAGTTAACATTCAACAGCTGTTTTGTGCTTGTTTGGGTGGCTAAATAGAAAAGAGAAGAAAAGAGAACCTGGAACAAATTCCTTTTTCAAAAACAAAATTTGTGTCCTGTTTTCAGAGCTAGGGTTTCATATCAAGTCCAGCTGGCCTTAAACTCTCTCTGTAGCCCAGGCTGGCCTTAAATTCTCTCTGTAGCCCAAACTATCCTTTAAGTGATGATCCTATTACCCCAGACTTCCAGTTGCTAGGTTTATAAGAATGGACCAACACACCATGAACCAAAATACCTTCAGATTAAATTTAATGCTTCCTTTCTGTTTTTTTTTTTTAAGTATTTTTGTCATAAATCATGGCACTTACAAATGTGCTTATAGAAAACAAAACAAAAAAAAAAAAAAACCTAAGTAGCTATGGACATATGAGTAGAAACCGTGCCTTTTGTGTTTGTGCTTAGAGACTCCCCAGAATGACATCAGCAGTATCACTAGTAGAATTTAGGTCAATGGACCAATTACTCATTTGCTAACATCAAAGGCAGAGGCGAACTTCTGCTTCTCTGCCTGTTCCTCTGAGTCTCGGCATTAAGCAATCATGGAGGCAACTTTATGTGCCACAAACAATCAAACCAATCTCAAAGCTCCTATAAAATATTGACTCTAGAAACAACGTCACTCTTAGTTCTCTGGTCATCAGCGTCTCACCATCACTCACACTTCCAACGCAAATCTCGGTTTTCTTGTTACCGTGTGGGTGAAACAGCTCTAGGAGTATCAGCCCATCGTTAATCAGCCCGTCTCTTAACAGCAGAAGCAGATCAATAGTTGCTCGATCTCTCAAGCATAGATCTAAACAGCTTAAACAGACACTAACCTGGTGGCACCTGGTGCTGGGGGGGAGCTGTAATCTTCTCCTGCTGCTCCAAGCTTTTTTCTGACGCTGCTTCCTCAGACACCAGCCAAGTCTGGCTTGCTCTGAGGCAAGTCGGGCTGGCTCCTTTGGCCTCCGTGACCTTCGTAGAAGAGGATGGCTCCAAGGTGTCAGCAGAGGGAAACCCAGAGGAGACACCGTTCTTCCTATTAGGGCGTTCATTAAAAACAGCTTCTCCTTCACTAGGCAGTGGAGGGAGCGGGAGAATCCTGTGGTGCTGCTGTGGGCTGGGGCACCTTGGAGACAGAGGCGAGGGAACAGGTGACAGCCGTTTGTGTGCGCTGGGCTGAGGCGATGAATTATTAAATACCATGCCGAGAGCTGTTGGTGCTTGGGGGGTTGGCTTCCTCTCATCGCATTTGAGTTGTGGGGCTTCAGGACCTACAGTGTGGGGTAGATCCAGAAGCAAGAATTTATGGCCACCCTGGGGTAGCCCAGCCTTCCTTTGGCTACTACTTTCTGGGAAAGCATAGGTGGCCCTTGTGTTGAGAGTGAAGCCCAACCTTCTCCCCTCGGTGGCTTCATCTAACTTCTCACTCTCTATCACCTTCCGGAGAACCTTGTTCACAGCCCCCTCGGTGCTGCCAGCTGATTCACTGGTAATGGAGGCTCTTTCGGTGGTTGAGGGCTGCAAGGATTGGACCCCTCGCTGTTCCTCCCCCAGCCTCCTGGAACTATGAGGCTCAGCCTCAGCTCCTGGGAGGGTGAGGAAGTCAGCTTTCTGGAGGAACTCAGTTTGGGTCTGTGGGCAAAAGGCAACCCTTCCCTCGCCGTCAGGATGCGCCCTAACTACTCTTTGCACTGGAGCAGACAGCTCCTGGACCTTGGCCACCACTTTGGAAACAGGTTTCTTCCTGCAAGTCCGCTCCAATGACTTTGACTTTCGAGTCCCGCCGCCCCACCTCTCGGCCCCACGATGTTTCTCATGACTTTCAGACAAACTTGGGTGTGGGGGCTCCTGCTTATGAGGAGGACTTTTGAGCTGCCCTCCAACGCCAGCACCTCCTACCTCAGTGGGGCTGCTGTCAGAGGACAGGGGTCCTTCGAGATCAGTGTCCTCTGAGGTCCTCCCAGAGCTTCCGAAGCCCAGGTCTGCATCTGACGTCCTGAGGATGTTGGCTGGGCAGCTCTCTCGCCTCCGTAAGGAAGACGTGAGCGTTCCCTGAGGAACTAAATTTCCTGTTTCTTCTAGGAGCCTGAGGTCAGGCCTAGCTCGAGAAGGAGAAAGAGAGCTATTGGAACAGACTTGGCCCTTCCCCATCTGAGGAGCTGACTCCTGATGGTCACGCCCTTTCCTCCTGGTTCTCTTCAGCCGGAGCTCCTCAGGGCTCTCTCTCCTCCTGCCAGTCCTCCGGGGCTTTTTGCTCCCTTGGGTGCTCCTCCTAATGAGAGAGCTCGCAGGGAGCTCTCTGCTCATGTTGCCAGCACTCTGCAAGCAGTCTTCCTCGGGGGCAAGGCTCACTGACAGCTCCTGCACCTTCCCCTCCTGGCTCCCCATCGAAATGCCCAGGATGTGGTCTGACCTCAGCAGACTGTCCAGCAGCCTCTCTCTCTCTGCTGTGAGCTTGTAGAGCTCGGTCAGAATGTCTTTTGTAGGAGTCTGTTTGAAAAAGATGTCGCCTGGATGTTCGTTCGGCTGCTGGCTGAGGCTGGTGATGTCTGGCCCCTCCCTGACTTGGTAGCAGTTATGAAAAGCATTATTGGATCTGTCTAGAGTTACAGTGCCCTTGTATGAAAATCCTCTGACTTCCCCCTTTGGAAGATAGAAGCTGATATAGCAGAGTTCAGTGATGGGGTTATGCAACTGGAGGGTGCAGTGAGTGCCTTCCATTATGCCTACCTAATTATTCATGCTGTGGAGATGCTGGCCTGTGGTCAGCTCCGGAGGAGAGGCATGTGATGGTGGCTAGGCAGCTGCCAGTCCTCTCCCGAAGTGAGGCTGCCTGTTAGAGAGACACAGGGAGAGAGCAGCTTGTCTAATAGTGTACACACCACAGGGAGACATCAATCAGAGCAGAACCACACCGATCCTTCCTCTCTGGCCAGGAGCCTGACTGCAGCATCTTCGGCTCTTACCTGCCTTGATCAAGAGGCTTTTCTATAGCTAAGAGATGGGAGAGGGCTCTCTCTTTGGTCTCAGGACAAGGCCCCTTTCTTCATTTGGGAACCCACCGTACAGCCTAGAGCCAGTCCGTCTACCTCTTCCAACCACAGTTTCTGTTCTTCTGTAAGTCAGCTATTGGACCTGCCAGGAATTCTGGGAGAACAGGACTTTGAGAGCCTTAGAAGTGATAGTTGTTTCAGTGACTCGTGTTTGGAATATTATTTTCAAAGATGAGAAGGCTTTGTTATAACAAAGATTCTAAGATTCTCTTACATTAAGGCACAGGAAATGTAAGTAAACGCAGCAGACCAGATATCTGAGGTGAGAGGAAGTGTCAGGCCTTCTCGACTCTTTGTAGTGTTCTAAAGTTTTAAATTTAAAAGTTAGAAATGAAAATCCCAGCACCCAAGAGGCAGAGGCAGGCAGATTTCTGAGTTCGAGGCCAGCCTGGTCTACAAAGTGAGTCTAGGAAAGCTCAGGCTACACAGAAGAACTTTGTCTTAAAAAGAGAGAGAGAGAGAGAGAGAGAGAGAGAGAGAGAGATTAAAATTAAGTAACTGAGGAGGTTTAATTAAGCTGTTTTGTTTTGAGACAGGTGTTGCTATGTAGCCTTGGCTGGCCTGGCCTGGAACTTGCTATGTAGACCAGTCTGGACTTGAACATGTGATAACTTGTTATAACTTGTTATACATGAACTTGACAGAATCATCCTGCATCTGCTTCCCAAATGCTGAGATTAGAGTAGGGATTTTTAATTACTCGATGATAGAAACGTTTGGAAATGTCCTGTGAGGGGCGAAGGTGGCTTCTTCCTTATGTGATTTGAAGGGCTCTCAAAAATGTCTTCCTAACTAACGTATCCACATACACATATGGAGCTTAGAACTCTATACTGTAACACTTTTCTTTTTTTTTCTTTCTCTTTAACACTTCACTTCCTAAGTTAATATCCCACCCAGTCTTCAAGATGCTCTCACTTAAGGAACATTCCCCTAGGAAGAACAAAATAACAATTAGATATGGTTTATAATTTACTTTTCTCAAGTGTTTTTGTTTTTTGTTTTTTCTTAACTGGTTTTAAACTAGAAAAAAAAAGTTATATAAAAGTACGTTAGGAGTTCAGAAAGGAGGATGAATTTGTAATGCAAACTCCTTGGGGAAACCATATGAAGCCAAGTGACAAAATGAAGCCGTCAGGTGTATGTGAGAACCTGATCAAGACAGAAGTGTTAGGAGGATTCAGAGATTATATAATTCCAAAAAAGAATGTCTGCTTGTTTGAAAAACCTATTTTCTAAGAGACAGGATTCTCACAGATTGAGTAAATATTCACATATACTGGTATTTCTCACTCATTTAATTGAAGGGTCCTCAGGGAACAAGAAGGTGCACAGAAGAGATGATAAGTCAATATAGGCCTTGCCTTTTTTACAGTTGCATATGGTCTGCTCTTGTTCCACTCATCCTATCTTTAAAATCTGTCTGTAGCCCATGGCAGCTCAGTGTCCAAGTGAGTTCCCTAGGAATGGGAACAGGGACTATCTCTGACACGAACTGATTGGCCTGCTCTTTGATCACCTCCCCCTGAGGGGGGAGCAGCCTTACCAGGCCACAGAGAAAGACAATGCAGCCACTCCTGATGAGACCTAATAGACTAGGATCAGAGGGAAGGGGAGGAGGACCTCCCCTATCAGTGGACTAGGGGAGAGACATAGTGGGAGAAGAGGGAGGGAGGGTGGGATTGGAAGGGGAAGAGGGAGGGAGCTACAGGTGGGATACAAAGGGAATAAACTGTAATTAATAAAAATTAAAATTAAAAAAGAAAAAAAATCTGTCTAAAGTGTTTGCTGTTAGTACATGTCCTAAATGTATCCTAAACATGTTTATGTGTATGGAAACTTGATGATTGCTGGCCCAAACTCTCTGAACATATCAAGTATCCATTTGAGAGGTAATCTTTTAGTCTGTGGTTTACATCAGTTCCAAAGACTGGTGTGCGTCTACTGTGCATGATACAGAGCACTCAGCATCAGGAGTTCCATTTATGAATTCTCAGACAAGCCAAAGGGAGGTAGTACAGTCCTGTTGTGAATTGTGAGAAGAGAAGATTCCCTCCTCTGCCTTCAAGTACGCTCCTCCAGCTCAGTGTAGCTCATTGACTTCCTGGATGATGAAAAATGTCTGATATATGGAGAGAAGTGCACTGCAGACTTTTCAGAATTTCTTTCTAGTAGCAGTTCACAGTTCATGCCATAATTTCAAGTAGGACAATGGCTGCCTAATGCCCCTTCCTAAGGAAGAGTTATACACACTTATGCTTTGAATTTATCATCTCATTTATTCGGTGTGGCACTATTTTACAGATGAAAAACACTGAAGGTCAGAGACACAAGGAACTTGTGAAGATTCCTCTAAGAAGAAGCAGGTTTAAAAGCCAATTCTGTCCCTCCCAGTGATTTGTGGGTAAATCTGCTCTCCCTTTACTTCATCTACTGATGAATACAAGACCCCCTCTGTTATGTCAACTTAAAGTAACAATTTCTTCATCAATGCCCCATATCTTCTAACACTCACTGGACAGTGTCAGCATGTCTGACTAGATGAAATACCTTGATAATATCCTTCAAATCACAAAGGTGAGAAAAAGAACGATAGAAAATCATTGAGTTGGAAAGTGAAAACTGCCTTTGCCTATAAAGGGAAATCCAATGGATATTCTGCTTTAGAAATTAAAAGTGGCACAGGTAATATCAAGGGAAAGGACAATAATGTGTATGTGGTTTAAGTAAGGAGAGGAATGGGGGAAGGGAAGGGAGAACTAACACTAAGGATGTTTGAGAAGCCAATATAAGAACTTATGGTTTTATAATTCATACATATATAACCCTGCAGAAGATATTAAATTCACCCCAGAAGCTATAGATAGCCAAATAAAGAGTCCCCTGCCAGATGTAGGGTACCTTCCCCTAAGATGATGGTCACAGGTGTCCCAGAGCCTACCTCCCCCAAACAAAACAATGCAGGCTATTTGCACGTCTTTTAGTTTCCTACCGAAACTTGATGGTAAAGCCCTGTTTATGAAGACATCACCCATACTGGTCATGGATATGGAAAAATCAAGTTGGTACTGACCAAAAAAGAGGCTTCCTCTCTGCTGGCTAGTTTTCACTGTATTAAAAGGTGCTATATTGGCTGATAAAGGAAAAAAAGACATTATCAGTCTTACTCAGCTGTGAACTTTATGAACTGTGATAACAACAAGTGTGGCAAAATATGTCCAGTGGTTCTCTAGGGTAACCCATCACTTTCTTATTGGCTTTAAAGTCTGCTTCACAGACATGCATGCCTGGTATTGTACCACTTCCAGGCCTCAGGAGTGAGCCTATTATTATTATGTTGCTAAACGGACATAGTATCAAACTTCCATCTAAATTTTAATCTATTTCTTGATTAATGTTGTTCTCACACCCCATCAGAAAATTTCTTTGTGCACCAAACAGTGGCTAACACAGAAACTAACAACTGGTCAAAACACAAATAGTAGTAAGTGTCAGTGGCATGTTTAGACATAAATGGGACAGCTATATCACTCCCCCTCTCCAGAGCTCAGGTACCACCATAAGAGAAGGGGAGGAAATATTGTAAGGGGCTGAGGTCAGGAAAAACCGCAGTAAAAAGGACTGCTGTAATCATAAACTCACAGCAGTCGTGGTTGCCTGATCAATATCAAGTTAGTCAACATTCTCGTAGGGATGGGAAAGCGCTCATGAGCCTACCACCTAACTGTGGAACTGTGGAAAGCGGATGCCTTCTGACAGAGGGAAAGTGAGTTTTTCTTAAGGGTCAAAGGCCAGTAGATGGCTTTACACACAGCAGCAGTATATGAGAAGCAAAAATTGGGGTCAAGGAGTTACTTTAAACCATAAAGCAGAGTGGATCTGAGAGGAGGAGAGGTGACTATAACCAAATTATGTTGTACGCAATTCTCAATGAATTAATAAAAACACTATTTTTAAAAAGAATCCAAAGGTAGAAGTACTCACAAAAGAAGGACTCATTTCTTTCATGAAGATATCAGACATACGCCAGACCAGGGGACTAAGTGTTTTGTGTCCTGGTCTTAGTGTATCTCTGTTATATAGATGGAGGCAATGTCATGGCTAAAAGTCTGTTAGCCCCAATGACAAAAATCAAATCAAGGCTTTGAAAATTATGATATGGGATTTTATAGCAATAAATATATAATGCAAGGCATGAAGCTATCATTATAAAAAAAAAAGGCTTCCTATTACTGTGGTATCTTCTTCCTTCCGGAGGCTTTAATACAGAGTGTCTTTACTACATCTGTGGGGCTCATATCTTCTGTAGCTGCATAGTGTTGTTGGTTTTTTATGTTTTTTTTGTTTTTGTTTTTGTTTTTTTGTCAACTTTAACACAATCTAGAGTCATTTGGGAAGAGTCATTTTTTGGTTCTGTTGCTCTCCTTGTGGGGCTCCAGGTCTTTCTATCTTCCCTTTCATTTATAAAATTCCCTGCACTCTGCCCAAAGTTTGGCTATGAGTCTCAGCATCTGATTAATGATTGATAGAGGAGGGCCCAGCTAGCCCATCATGGGTGGTGCCAGCGCAGCACCCATCCAGGGCTTCTGCTTCAGTTCCTGCATTCAGGCTTCTGTCTTGAGTTCTTCCCCTGTCTTCCCTCACTGACAGACTGTGACTTGAGGGTTG